CTCGAATGCATGCAGAGGCCAGGCCGCGTAGCCAGCCCAATCTCCCCAGGCAGCGCCGGTGAGGTCGCCCGGAGTTCCGCTCTTGCAGTCATGGAAGCCGCCGCTGAACTCCACGAAACCGAAGTACTTTGCAATCTGTGCCCAACCTGCGACAGGCACCTTGGAGGCTGCAAGCCCATTCGGGATGTCGGAGAACTTCAAGCCGGCGGACGGTGACAAGAAGCCAGGCCTGCGCGAGCAACAACCCAACACACATCGCCACAAGCCTGTCACGCAGCTCAGCTAGCAAGCACCGGATGTGGCGCTCTGAGAGCGCGGCAGCTTGCCCATGATGTCAGGGGTGATGTAGCCTCGGCCACCGTGCCGTTGTAGGTGGACAAACGAAAGTCAAGGCAAGAACTCGGACCAAAAAACATGCACTGTTTGAAAGCTACCTTTTGGTAACCAGTACTCACCTAAAGTACAGCGAAGTGTTCCATACGCCCAAGGAACCCCGTACTGACCTACAATAGTTTTTCAATGTTGAAATCGCATGCAACGTCTCAGTTGCTGTTGAGCGGCCCATGCCTGCCATCATCGAGATCCGGCCGTGCTTCAGCTCGACGGAACGTCGGCACTGGAAGGAGGCAACATCGTCATCGGCAGTGAATCCGACTGGATCACAGAATCCAGCAGGATCCCAGAAACCCACTGGTGCCTGCCCAAGTCTAGGTTCAAGCATGTACAGCAGTAACAGAATCATAGCCAACTTCGAGATGCACAACGATCGCCAAATGACCTCTATCCCATGTCTAGAACACTGAAACATCTGGCTGCACCTTGCCTGCACCCCGAGCTTGGCATGGGGCCTCACGGCGACCCTGGTGGGAGCAATCGGAGTGCATAGTGTCTCAGGACTCCTGACCCCAACCCCTTAACTTTAAAGCACTCTCTCTCTCTCTCTCTGTGTCAAGCACTCAACTTTAAAACCCTAAAACTCAATTCCTAAACACCCAAAACCCTGAATCCTGAATTCTGACACCCTCCGTTCTGAAACCCTCAATTCTGGAAACGCTTACTTCTGAAACTCTGAATTCTGAAATCCCCCCTCACTTCTGAAAGCCTAAATTCTGAAACCATCAATTCTGAAAGCCTAAATCCGTCAATTCTGAAACCCTACGTGCAGAAACCCTCAAATTCTGAAGCCTTCAACTCTGAAAACCTAAACATCCTCCATTCTGAAACCCCAAATTCTGATACCTTCAATTCTGAAACCCGAAATTTTGAAACCCTCCCGGGATTCTGAATCCACAGTTTTCACATAGCCAGAGCAAGCACAGGTCTCCTCCCAAGAAGGACGGGATGCTGCCTGAGACAGAAGCTCGCGAAGCGTGGGTTAAACGCACAATCTACCTGAGCAGCTGCAGGATCTTCAGTGCTTAGGCCTTTGATCCTCCAGGCTTAGGGGAGAAATCCCCGGACAGCCCGTTTAGCACCCCAGTTTCGGTGTGATTGTCTATGATGGCAGCGGCGCTGCGTTGGTGGAATTCAATGATTAAAACTGTCGCGCACGCTTCTGGGCTTGGCCGTGCGGAGGGATCCTGCGTGGCAACCACCTTATTCTTCTACCATCGAGGCTTTTAATTTGTGGGGGAGTGTACTTGTAATTTCCCATGCTCGGACTTTCTGCTCCAACCTCGAGTGAACTAGAAGGATGACGAGCTGGGTGTCTCTCTCAGGCCAAGGCTAGTCGCACGAGAAGCTATCAGAGAAAAAACAGCTCTCGCCTCATAAGCTTGGCTAGAGATGGACGCAAGCATACCACAGGTGGCAGGAGAACAGCCACAAACGAGCTGTGACAGGGGAGAAATGCCCACCTGTATAAGCAAGGAAATCAACAGGAAAAAGTAGCCATTAATCGCTTTGCGGCGCTTTGCTGGCGATAGTTCTTGTACTAAAGGTTTGGGAGGATTAAAGGACCATTAGGCACGTGGAGCCGTAGGGCGGGCTCCAAATATCAGGACGATGCTAGGGGACTAAATACAGTAGGAGTCTTTAGGCAAGGCAACCACCCACTTCCCCCCAGCTTTGCTTTCAAGACACACACACTCACACAGTTGCCATGCAGGATCCTATGCACATTCAGTACTTGACCAATGCTTGCAGTCAGAGAACTTGTTGCCCAAAGATTCTTCCTCCTTCTTCTTTGCCTCCTCCAGTTTCCTGGCCTCAGCCTCCTGCTTCTTCTTTTCCTCCTCCGCCTTGCG